TAAGTCCTTAAAGTTAACAGAGAAGACAAAGAAGGTCCATGTATTGATTGAATGACCTAGACCAGGTGAAACTAGGTTATTACTAAAACAAACTGCTTGGAGTCAGTAAGGACTTGGCTCTGCCATTTACTAGCTGTGTGGCCTTGGGTGAGTTACTTGTCCACTTCAAGTTTCAGTAAAATATGCATAGTCAGGATTGTTTTTAGAATTATATGAGAAATTGTATGAACCCATTGTCAAGCACGTAGAGGGTACTCAGTAAAAGGTAGTTATGATTTTACAGTCTCAAGCTCTAGCTGAGTTTTAAGTGAGATGAGAAGACATGAAAACAGTTAAAATGGGGAAACATTAAGTTAATATTTATACAATTATAATACAACAGAGATAGTATAAATTAAGCTATATAAAGTGTATTCAAAATGTTTTATTCTATTACTGTAACAAAAATATTTGGGTTTACTGTTGTCTAAATAGTAAATATCCCAGCTTCTCACTGCTGTTCATACCGAATTCTTACCTCTTGCCCTTGCTGCCCCAATCAGATACCACTGGTGACCTGGTGGCATCTGGTACTTGCAGTGCAGATGTAACACCAGGAAGGAAATGAACACAAGAATCCACAGGTGGGCTTCAAGGAGCCCATAAATCCCCTGAAAATGCGGCTGCTGCCTTTGGCATTCCAAAGATTTCTTTATTTTCCTGCTACTCAGCTTTGCAATTAAAAAAAAAAAAAAACAAAGATGGTTTATAAATGTCATAGAGCATTTTAGGTACAAGTGCACCAGGAGGGGGTTTGTGTGAAATGCTCCTCAAACTTGAATGTGCATAAAAATCAACTGGAGATCTTGTTAAAAGTGCAGATGTGGTTCGGTAGGTGTGGGATGGGAACTGAGATTCTGCATCTCTCACAAACTCAGATGATTCTCGTACTATTGGGGACCCACATGAGTAGCAGGGATCAGATCTGAAAATAGAAGTCGTTTCTGTGTTTGTTAATGTGTTACTGAGCAGACTAATTTTTTTATTTCAAATTATTTCTGGTTATCTCACCAAATCCCTTAATCACTTTTCTTCACAATTAGCCAAATTATGATTTTCACTTAGTTTTTTTTTTTTACAGAATACATACAATAAATTCAAAATTGATTTAATATATGAGCAATGATTTAAATGTTTAAATTCTCCAGTAATTTTCCACCAGCAGTAATAGTTTGATTTAAAAAAAAAGAAAAGAAAACTAAGCAACAGTTGAAGTCTGTATTCTTTACTGAACATTTAAGTTAAAATTAGAAAAAAAAATTGAAACAGTGGCCACAATAACTCAATATGCACCTTGCACTTCATCCAATGTCATCATTCTTTGTCACCATTAAAATATTCTTCATTCCTTTCTGACAAAATCCTTTGTTTATTTCTTCCTCTACACAACGCCTCCTAAGTACAGAAGTGCTAAAGAGACATTATGTGAAGCCAGGTGATCTTGACCTTGATAAGGAAATCTACCTTTTTATATGGCTTTCATGAAACTATCCCTTTATAACTGGCTCCACAACTTACACTCACTGTTTTATCTTAATTTGGTTTTCACCTCCAGTTATTAAATTAATCTGAAATTTTGAGTAACTCTAATTGAATTTAATATGGCATGTTCATCATTTGTTTTATGTTTAGACTGGGTTTTGT